TAGAGGGGAGTGATATCTACCAGATGTTTTTGGTCCCATGGAAAAAATTTGTTCCTAGCCGAAATTATTGCCGGTCAAAGGTCAGCGCTCATGTGTAATTGTATTGCGCGAGCGATTTTCAATCGCGCCCCCTGAAAATCGAGTCTAAAAATCTATCTTCTCCTACATTTTTTGAGCAATCACCTTGAAACTTTCAGGATATGTTCTAAGGACCATTTAGAAACTTCTGGTCTATCATAATTTTAAAATAGGCCTTAGAAAAGTTTTTATTCGATTTTGAAAATCTTGGACCTGAAAAAATCGTCAAAAAACGAGGCCCAAGATTTTCAAAATCGAATAAAAACTTTTCTAAGGCCTATTTTAAAATTATGATAGACCAGAAGTTTCTAAATGGTCCTTAGATCGATTTTCAGGGGGCGCGATTGAAAATCGCTCGCGCAATACAATTACACATGAGCGCTGACCTTTGACCGGCAATAATGTATCAGGGGGGGGGGGGTTAAAACATCTAGATGACGTATCATGTGAGGTCCCTTATAGTCCCTTATAGTCCCTTATAAGCTTATAGTCCCCTATAAGCTTATAGTCTACCCTACACAGACCCCTGTGTGAAATGGACAGTGTATACAATATGGCGTGCTGTTTTGTTAATGTTCAGTGGTCGAGCTTAAGTCTATAAAATATCTCGTGAGTCATTTACGACTGACATATTTAAACGAGACTATATGTTTTGTGTGCATGATAATCTTGTTTTGACAATAGTCTTGTTCAGAGACGAGCTTTCGTTCTTAATTTTACATTCCCTCTAATGCAATAACCGGATTCTTTGATGCCTATTGTTTAAGTGTTTGACACGAAAATTAATTTTCGAAATTCATCCAAACAGTTGTAAAATAATATCACTGTCTCACCTCTAACTTTGTTGCTTGTTAAATGATTTCTTCAGAAGATCAAAAAAGTGCTGCCCATTTTAATAATCCTGTCAATTTTGGCAGATGCCTCCAAACTTTTACCAAATATGTCCCCATGATCTTTCTCAAAATAGTTAGGCCAGTTTTACGGCCATCAGGTTACTTGATTGGGCGAGATTTACAACTCTTCAAGTGATGCCCCTGTCATCCATCTTTCAGGTTATCAGGCTGCTCCCATATTTCGCTTAATGAGCAGTGCAGGAGCAGATTGTAGGAGGCGTGTGCCCTTGTGCCGGTTTATCGTACGTTGATTGTTTTACCGACTGCCAGCTTTTCTTACATTGCCCAACTAATCCTGACCCCATCCCAACTATATCCTGAATAATGTCCTGAACAATGTCCTTAATACAATGCGTGAAAGGTCCCCATAAAATATTTGCATGGCTAAGCCGTGAGTGTACATAAACCAGAGTCCCAGAGTCCATGTTTGTGGGTAACACTTTTGTGAATCATTTACAAATTCACAGACTATGAGCAAAATCATAATAATATTATGAACATGACCAAAAGACATATTGATAATCTTCACGATAATATAAATTTTCAGTCTGATCTTCAATAATTTATTTCTCTGGCTGAAGCTGTCCTCTGCTCTGTGTGTTGAGGCTCTCAACACGGAATACTTATACTATATACAGATTCTACTTGACACCACTTTATAGTTTAGTACTTAAGTGGTCTTATAGTTAGTACAAAGCATTAGATCAGTATTATGCCATGTAATTATGTATTATATAATATACTTGTGAATAGAGAATATACTTACGAAACGAAGAACCTCATTTTCAATTTATGCTCCTCGTTTACCAAGTTGTTGTAATGTATCTGGTTGCTGGTGGGAATACCATAGTTACCACTAGTTACCACTAGTTACCACTAGTTACCACTAGTTACCATAGTTACCATAGTTACCACTAGTTACCACTAGTTACCACTAGTTACCACTAGTTACCATAGTAACCCGTTCATACTGGTGGGAACTATATTTGTCATCACACTGTCACGTGTTATGACAAATATGTAGTTCACCTCTAAAGTTCAGTACTCATATCCGTATGAACTTCTTATTTGGTTGAATCATTCGACAACAATCTCAACCCTACTCTTAGTCGGTCTGTCTTTTCATTAATTAACTTACACAGTTACAGTTACACGACAACTTATCAGATTTGAGATCACAAGTGTATTTAATTTGAATCATCTTATTTCTAATTAACCTTGTTGTCTCTATCACATCAATACTACCCGTTCTCTCAGTCGGTTAATACCTCTGTCATTCTCAAATCTTGTAACATAAGTACTTCTTGAACCTGTACTTCCAACCCTAAACAGCAATGTGAACCCTAACTCTTAATCGACCTAGGCCTCGGGAACTATAATCTGGGACAAAACGTCGAAGTAACAGAAATCTCGGAAATCATATATAAATCAATAAGACTCCTTTGCAATGAATACTTTTCAGTTGTGTCTGGGTATAAATCAGAGCGCAAACTTTGATCATTATACACTATACAGTAGATATAGGTTTAGGTATCTAATAGTAGAAATATCGCATGGCTGGTACACTGGAAGCTTCTTAACCCCCAGTCGAGACGTGCTCATTATTCTCATTGCTCCTACAGAAATATTACTGTTCAATATTAATATTAAACAACCTACTGCTCTGCTTTTAGAAATGAACAGTTTATTTCCGCATTCTTTTAACTCTGTCATCGGGCAAACTTCCCAAGTTCCAAAAATAGTACAATTAAACTGAGTGTTAGTTGAGGTGGTATCACTCTCTTGTTCGGTGTAGTTTTGAGTAACTAGCTAGTAACTATAGTAACTAGCTGAGTAACTATAGTAACTAGCTAGTGTTAGTTGAGCTGGTATCACTCTCTTGTTCGCCGTAGTTTTGACAGACTATTGCGAATTGAGAGACTATTGCGGTCGTGACCTATTGGTAATACCTTCATTTTGTGGTGATGATGAGCTTAAGTAGCGCTCCACTCTTCAATCTTTATCCCATTAAACATTGTGTTCTGATTGGTCGTTGACCAATTTTCAATCACCAGTTCAAACGTGACAAATTTTATGGAGCATGTCATCTGCAAGTTGGGACATTGCCTGAACTGGATTTAATTACCTATTATTATTTATGCCAAATCGATATTGTGTATCGTTTCCAGTACTTTTCGTACCTCAATAATGTGAGCAGTCCATAACATCATCACAATAAGAAGTCAGTACGTTGACACTGGTACCTTTACCCTAACTTTGGCTTTACCTTAAATGGACATGTTTAATCAATTACAAATTTTAAAGGGGATGCCTTTGCCTTTAGTGCCATGAAAGTGTCATAAATCCAGCTCCGTATTATATAGCGTTTCCCTAATCTACTATAGCGTTTCCCTAATCTACTATAAAAGTGACTTCCACTTCATTTTGCTATTGTTTCTTCTCTTATTCATCCCCTGTAAATTGTGATCGGCCGCTCTTCAGTATATCACCCTGGAATGATATACAATGAAGTGTTTTTAGTGTCAACTTGTTGTTTTTCTCTGGGCTGAGTCTTAATTAATTGACCATTGCAGCGCAACATATGAAGTAACCAGGGTCTCGCGTTACACCCCCGCATTTAGAGAACTTCAGTGGCCTGGTTATAAACCTTCTTGTATATAAACCCCTTATAAACCTCCGTGGTTTTGTTCCATTGTGTTGCTTGAGGGACTGATAACTTTTTCTCATCACAATCTTGTTCACTTATTGTAACTAGCTATGACCAGTCTAGCTGTGAATAGTTTAATTACCTTTTCTCATCACAATCTTGTTCACTTATTGTCTAACTAACAGTCTAGTTACCTTACTTTTAAGTTTCTATAACAGCCTCGTTATCGCTTTTATGTCGTCTGTCTTGTTTTAAACCTGGTTAACCTTTTATTCTTTTGCTTTCTTCTAGTGGTGACGTCATCACCTTCTCATTGGTGACTTCGTCAGCTCCAGACGCATTGGTAACCGTGGTAACTACGACAGCGCCTCCCCCAAAAGAGTGATTACTGATCAGTAACACGATGAACCGGAAGGACATCGTGACTGTTACAAATGATGTGGTAAAGCTACACAAGCTCATGGAACAATATGACAACTCCCCGAAAAGAAGAAAAAGACAGAGCGACTGGAGAAAACCTGGGTTGAAGCTTCTGAAGAGGACAGAAAGCAAAGAGAAGTGTTTCTACGTGTATTCAGATTCGAGTAGTAGTAGTGAGAGTAGCCTTGGGTGGGAGGAGGAGGAGGAAGAGAAAGAAAAGAAGAAGGTATTCATCAGATCCTAACTTGTTCTTATTTTACTAACTTATTTTCGCTATATTAATACTCTCCATACCCTGTCCTTTTACTCTATTCAGTTCGTTGTTCTTTGCGAAATGTTATCTGGATATTTGATGATATAAATCTTCTACATTATCAAGAAACTCGGAAATCTGTGTAGTATCCAAGGTTCTGCAGTTCTGTGGTGTTTTGGCAGAGCTTGTAAGCCTTTCGAATGCTGACGTTTCAAAAATTCTAGTTCTTGTGGAGGACACCTCGGACATCAAAATAATGAATAGCTCGAGGAATTTGTCTTATATCAGTGTCAGCCTTGTTCACAAAAACGTTTTTTTGTGTAGTGGGTATATCAGTGCTTTTTGAAACTGATACTGCTTTTACCACCACCAGATTAAGATGTATTGTCAATTTTTGATACAGTAGGATCAATTTCATTGGGGTTTGGAACCGTGTAAATTATAAATTGGAGAATAAACGAACCGAAAATGTCGACAGATTTATAATCGAATACAGCAGTGTCATGCTAAGTTCTCGTCCTTCATAATTTCTTCTTTTATATCAACAAAAAAGAAAAACTTGTTTAAAAATGAGAAATCTTTTTAAAACTCCCGAAAATCCTAAAAATATCCCATCGAAAATCCGTAAAACAGCCAAGAATGTACAGTGAAACTACCGGACACCGTCGAAAAAGCAAATAAAGCCGTCTTCTAACCCATCCTATTTCAGGAGGAGTTCGTATCATCACCACTGTCGAACAAAGCGAACAAAGGAAAAGCAGCACATCTAAAGTGGAACCGTACAGAGTGGAAATAACAGTGATCAGTAGTGCTAGCCTGGCCTCTAGAGACTCCAATGGTAGGGACACTTGGCAGATTGCCATCATTTGTTTATTGAAGAGGGGTCTCACTGACCTCACATTGACTTGCAAACAATACATTGTTTTAATTGACATTCAGACGAGATAATTAGGTCAGTGGCACCCCCTTCTTATCCAACCATTTCATCGTGTTCTCCATGTGAAGGGTTTTTTTGCAGCGAAATCTCATGAAGTTTTTTTTTGGTGTGGGAAATACTCAAATTCCCAGGAAATGTTGCAAATGTCTCATGAATTGTGTTATTTGCTCATGTCTCATAAATTGTGTAGTTTTCTTGAATTGTTACCCCCACTTTTAGGAGTAGGCTCGCCCATGCCTTGGTCAAATGCTGCCGATAGTAAGCTTTGTATTTTCACCGTGATCTCAATTAATGTGATAAATGTATCACTGTATTGTGTGATGAATGTGATTGTTACTCCCTGTTTTTTTTTATGATGAATGTGATTGTGTTCCCGTGATCGATTGTCTTTAAATCATTGTCATTAATTTATGTCTTAATGTGCATCGTGCCTGTTTACCATGGTTTACCATGTTTTACTCATATCAGTAAAATTTGCCTCATAGTTAAGCCTCCTCAAATTAAAGCCTCACAATTACTCCTCATATTCATAATTTAAGCCTCATATTTATGATTTAATTTAAGCCTCATATTTATGATTTAAGCCTCTCCATTGCAAGCAAATGATGTGACCAAATTGGTCACTTTTCAACCTTTTCTGATGCACATTTGAGAATGTAATTTGTATTATGCTCAAAATCAAACAAGTACATACTTTTCCTTCAGGACTAAGTGATCCATACTGTAAGATAAAAGTAGGGTTACAGAGGGCTAGAACGAAAGTCTGTCCAAAGAATCTCAATCCTCTGTGGGAAGAGAAATTCAGTTTTGTTGTAGAGACCCTCGATGAAACAATCAGATTTAAGGTGAGGGTTTTACACTGCAGTGCCAATATAATACAATGCAATAGCATTTACCCAAAAATGAAACATAAAGCAACCACTCATATTTACTAAATTTCTTCAATCTACCCTTTCATTCAGTTTTTATTATGCTTATAAATACAATTGCGTTTCATTCCCAACATCTTTATTCAGTGATATTATGCCACTTAGCTGAAGTAACACTGAGGATCATGTTTCAGGTGATGGACTACGACAGAGGGTTCAGGGATGATCTGATTGGTTACTACGAAATGAAGCTATCATTTTTTCCTCTAGACGAGTAAGTTATAGTATACAAACTATTAGTAACTATGGTAACTATGGTAACTATGGTAACTATGTCTACACTAGGTGTAAGAGCAAGTGAGCTGAGATATAATTGTGTTATTTCTTAGCCCTGGGCAGTAAAGCAAGAACAAGGCTCTCTTAATTTTTTGTACTAAAGTACGTAATTTCAGCTACCAGACATTTGCAGAAGAATTAACGGACGACAGTGGTACAGAGGATCTGGGCAGTATTAAATTCTCCATTCACATTTCCTCAGACCTGAGCCATACTCCGCCTCCAGACGTAAGTACTGATCGAATCAGTGATCAGTGAGTGTTTCTGAGTAGCACTCAGTGAGTGTTTCTCGAAACTCAGCTACTGTTAACTGTAGCCTGTCGCTCCTGTGTGCGCTGACAGAGTGTTCCTTTATCTCCAGAGTGTTCTTTTATCTCCATACCAGTACTTAATCTATAATTATTAGTCTATTGAATGCTGCTACACAGCTAGTACACTATGTAGAACTGCTAAATGTTTGCATTTAAATGTTGCTATATTATTGCTATACGTGGGTTGCTATGGCTACTGCTGTGCAGGTCCAAGAGGCTAGCATATCAAGCAGTCCCCCAATAACGCCGCCAGCACTCAAGAAACTGGTCAGAAAACCGACAGCGTACGACAACATGGTCCATAGGTTCCTGGGGGGCGACCAGAAGGTAAACATTGTTAGCACATATTTACTGGGCACTAATTGTTGGGTAATTCACATAATTGCATAATCACTGCTCATAATTACATAATGACAGCTTTTAGCTCGTAGATGTGATGAGTATATATGTTGTGTTGTTCGTTTGGCTCGTGAGTAACAGTGGCAATGGAAGCTTTATTATTGTCACTAAAATTGCCTGAAACCATTGTGAAGTCCGAGTCAATCAAATAATGAACGTCAGACTCATTACAATGAAGCCTTACAAAGTTTTAATCACAAATTGCAATATTTTCGCGATTAAAATTGCACCTTTTAATCGAAATATGCCATCCTTCATGATATTAATTGGATTATTTCGATGCACAATTATATTATATAGAGGGCACAGAACCCATATTGCACTTTAACGTCAGATCACTATCAAATGATCGCTTTTTATCGGCATTATTTGTCCTCTTGGACGGTATCTTCCAATGTTTGGACTTATACTACATGAGTGGCTCCCCACAGCAGGGCACAGCAGAAATCTACTTCCAATTTTGAATGCATTCCGTCTGAAACTGAACATTCCATCTGAGCATTGAACATTTCATCTGAGCATTATAAATTACCTTTATTACCTGCTTTTTGAAGCCCGTGTGCGTGCAACCGTAGTTATTATTTAACTACTTTTTATTAGTTTCCCAACTCGAACACAAAATCTGGCAACTAATAACTAATTCTGTACCAGATGTCTTGATGGCATTGTGCCAGATGTCTTGATGGCATTGTGCCAGATGTCGTGATGGCATTGTGCCAGATGTCTTGATGGCATTGTGCCAGATGTCTTGATGGCATTGTGCCAGATGTCTTGATGGAATTGTGCCAGATGTCTTGATGGCATTGTGCCAGATGTCTTGATGGCATTGTGCCAGATGTCGTGATGGCATTGTGCCAGATGTCGTGATGGCATTGTGCCAGATGTCTTGATGGCATTGTGCCAGATGTCTTGATGGCATTGTGCCAGATGTCTTGATGTTACCAGCCCACACGTACGAGGCTTGTTTCGCAATGTAACCAGATTCTCAGCTACATGTTACAAGTCTAATAGTGTATTAATCTCTCAGCTGCTGCTGTGCCACTACCGATGTAATCATCACGTTAAAGCCTCTCTTATTAATCTTATTTTCTCCGGGTCGACAAGAAATTAACACTACAATATAAACTATAAATCTTACTGGTTGCCGCTAGATGTTCATTGTCTTCTGCATATCTCGTGATGGATAATATGAATCTAGCTGATCTTAGTCAGTGTCAGTACATCATTCAAGGGGGTCGTAATGTAGAGTGACTACAGTTCATGTTGTACTCCTTTTGTCGTCTCTGGCTTCATTAACATAGCCAATATTTACTGTGTAGTAGCTGTTTATGTTTCTTGCTATTATTGTTGACTGTTTTGTTTATGTTGAAGTTTTGGTTCACCTCCAGCACTGTACGTACCATTGTTGATACTCCTGATTCTGTGTTGAAACACTGTTGATACTCCTGATTCTGTGTTGAAACACTGTTGATACTCCTGATTCTGTGTTGAAACACTGTTGATACTCCTGATTCTGTGTTGAAACACTGTTGATACTCCTGATTCTGTGTTGAAACACTGTTGATACTCCTGATTCTGTGCTGAAACACTGTTCAATGTACGTAGCGAATGTGTTGAAACACTGTTCAATGTACGTAGCGAATGTTTATGTCGGGTTTTTAACACAGTTCACTGCACACAGGATAAACCTCCGTTAAACTTACACGATGCTCCGCCGATTAACGAATTGGGCACCAATTCCCCTAAATTGGGCCCTGGTTCTCCTAAATTGAGCCCTGTCGACTGCAGATCTCTGAAAGTAAGGGCTGCTCAGCTCGGCGAATCAATAAACTAATACTACCCTGCATGTGCATTGTGCATCACCATGGTAACCATCACCATGGTAACCATCACTAGCTGTAACTATGGAATAACTTAAAATAACCGAATACTACCCTGAAATCTGCATGTGCCCTTAGAATTACTTGAAAAAATAATGCGGTTGCTGCACGGTTCCGCACGGTTCCGCACGGTTCCGCACGGTTCCGCACGATTTACAATATCTTGCCTCGTCTTAATGTTTTCTTTGCTTGAATACTCTGCCGCTTTCTTTTAAAGCATCGCTTATAATTTCAGCATGGTTAAAAGCATAAATTACACAAATTAATTAAGTTAATTAGATGATCTATTTAATGATCTTTCTGCCTGTGAATTGCATGATCCCAACTTATTTGTGAATACTTAGTTAATAATTATAGCAGTTGGATAGTCTGACAGCAATTAGACATTCCTGCTAAGACTAAGTATAAGACTTAAGAGTTAAGAGGCATTTTTACTTTTCTTGATTTGTTTTGCACTTAAAACTCGTTTTAAAATACGATAAAAGGAGCAATTTAAATTGCTGTCCGCTGGTAATCAGCGCAAAGCCTTTGCCACGCCTCACTTAATTGCAATTAAAGCCTAAAATGTAAAGTAAGTCGTGTAAAGAAAGTTGTGGTTGTATAGTTGGTTATAAATAATAAATAACCAAACAATAATCTGCCATAAAGAGTCACGTCTAGTGCATTGTTTGTTGGATTTTACTTTTACCATAAAGAGTCACGTCTAGTGCATTGTTTGTTGGATTTTACTTTTACCATAAAGAGTCCTGTCTAGTGCATTGTTTGTTGGATTTTACTTTTACCATAAAGAGTCCTGTCTAGTGCATTGTTTGTTGAATACTTTATTTTTGTTTTCACTTATTTTGAGTGTACGAAACTAGAATTTGTGGCTTGAACCGTGTCCTACCCTCCTCTAGCAGTCGGAGTCGGAGTATGGAAGCGAAAGTGGCTCTCCGGGCGAAAGTGCCGGCTGCATAACCACACAAATCAAGCGGAGAAAAGTGAGCCATACTGTACCGTGTGTTGTAATTACTGTGTAATTCTTGTGCAATTTGTTGTGGACCCAGCCCCCTTACTTTTTAGTTAATTATAGTACCGTGCACACTAGTTACATGTAATACACAGTTAATTAATAATTATAATTTATAGTACACTGCACTAGTTAACTGCTAATTATAGTACTCCACAATAGTTTTGACTGAACTAATTGATTACAGTACACATGGTGTACGTACCAGTATTTTAAAGAATGTCTCTACATATTTTTACTTTTACTTTCTACTTTTACATTATAATTTAAGTACTCTGCCGGAATATATTATATCATGTCTCTGTATACTGTAGAGTGTACATACTGTATAGTATATATACTATACCTGCTACTATATAGTATATACCCACTACTACAGAGTAGTTTATATAACACAATGTATAGTTTATATATCACAATGTACACAATGTATAGTTTATATAACACAATGTACACCCGTTCATTAGCTCTATAGTATTCATTAACCGTATAATGTTTTTCATGTGCGGGTACTAATCCTTGCGCGTTTCTACAGTATTTATACTCTGTTAGCCGCGCACAACCTAGCAGTTCTATTCCGGTGTGTACTATCAGGTGTCTCTCTCAGTTCGCTCTTTGTCTTATGTTTAGTCCAAATAGTTAAAACTGCATTTCCAATACTATTTACCAGATGTCGACCAGACTGCATGACATGAGTGAGACGGTTCAAAGTATGTGGAAAGTAAGCGAGACTACTGAGAACTGGTTGTCATGACTACTGGTTGTGTACTGGTTGTGTTGCATGCAGGGAGTGGGGGTTGGTGGTGCCTTTTGTTTGAGTATTAAAGTGCAGTGTGTGTGTGTGTGGCTAGACAGTAAAACACGTATTGTGTATTGAGAGTTGCCGGTTTGGATTGTTTTATCTTTAGGTTGCAGCGTTTGGTTTGGTGGTGTGTTTTATCAGTCAATTCCCTTCGCCTTCCGAGTCCAGGAGTAAGGTTTAATGCTATGTTTGGGGTAAGGGGTAAGAGTTGGGGTAAGGGGTAAGAGTTGGGGTAAGGGGTAAGAGTTGGGGTAAGGGGTAAGATTTGGGGTAAGGGGTACGAGTCGGGGGTAAGGGGTAAGATTTGGCGTAAGGGGTAAGATTTAGGGTAAGGGGTAAGAGAGTCGGGGTAAGGGGTAAGATTTGGCGTAAGGGGTAAGATTTAGGGTAAGGGGTAAGAGTTGGGGTAAATGGTAAGAGTTGGGGTAAGAGGTAAGATTTAGGGTAAGGGGTAACAGTTGGGGTAAGGGGTAAGAGTTGGGGTAAGGGGTAAGATTTGGGGTAAGGGGTAAGATTTGGGGTAAGGGGTAAGAGTTGGGGTAAGGGGTAAGATTTAGGGTAAGGGGTAAGAGTTGGGGTAAGGGGTAAGATTTGGGGTAAGGGGTAAGAGTTGGGGTAAGGGGTAAGATTTGGGGTAAGGGGTAAGATTTAGGGTAAGGGGCAAGAGTTGGGGTAAGGGGTAAAAGTCGGGGTAAGGGGTAATAGTTGGGGTAAGGGGTAAGAGTTGGGGTAAGGGGTAAGAGTTGGGGTAAGGGGTAAGATTTGGGGTAAGGGGTAAGATTTGGGGTAAGGGGTAAGAGTTGGGGTAAGGGGTAAGATTTAGGGTAAGGGAGAGTTGGGGTAAGGGGTAAGAGTCGGGGTAAGTGGTAAGAGTTGGGGTAAGGGTTAAGATTTAGGGTAAGTGGTAAGATTTGGGGTAAGGGGTAAGAGTTGGGGTAAGGGGTAAGATTTAGGGTAAGGGGTAAGAGTTGGGGTAAGGGGTAAGAGTTGGGGTAATGGATAAGGTTAAACAGCATATTAACCGTTAGGCTACAGTACATGACAGACTAACTGGGACCCGCAGCTTTTAACATGTTTTAAACATATTTTTAATATGTTTAAGATCGCGTTATGCAAACATTGGTTGCTGATAGAACGTACACTAAGATTCCAGGGGCCAACTGTTATTTTGTGTATTTGGGAAGGATCGTTTGCTTCGTGTGCACGTCATATACATTATACACATGATATACATGTATAGAGTCTGATTTTGCATCTTAGAATAATACAATGTTTAGTCTTAGCCATTTTATACTGCCCAAATAGTCTGATTATCGCAAATTTATCACAGAATGTTTCCACTAATATATATATACTAGAGAGCCTTTCGAACAGAACATTGTACAGGGTGTTTCAAGACTCGTGTCCAAATTTGAAATTATAATTTTTCTATTTTATGAAGGAGCAAATTAAATGAAATCGGGTTGGGAATGCTTGTTAGGTCTTACATTTTAGTTATTTCTTGCAAAATTGTGTCAAAACCCATTTTTTCATAATTTTGCAATCTTTTGAAATTTTTCGAAGAAAATTTCAAAATTTGCCCTATCAAACGTGAAGAGAGTAGACATCGTCAAGCTTCTCTGTGTGAACGGAAGCAGTTGGACGGCTGCTAGGAGTGCACTTTCGAAGAAATACGGAAAATCAGGCAGGAAAATTCATCCCAAGACTATTCAACGAAAGGTGAAGAAATTTGAAACTGTGGAAGGTCCAAAGACCAGGGAAAAGGTGACTGTTTAGATGGGTCTCAGGAACCATGGTGTATTCGGATCCCACTTTTTCGAGAATAAAGATGAGAAGGCAGGCACGATAAGGACGTCAAATGATATCGCCATGTTGCGTGGGAAAGTTATCCGAGTCCTCAAAAGAAAAAAAACATAATTCCTGTATTTTCCAATAAGACAGACCCCTCCTCACTACTCTCAAAAAAGTTTGGGTTGGCTGAAGGAGCATTTTGGAAAAATACTGATGTCAGGAAAAGCAGACTTCAGCTGGCCTCCTTACACCCCTGACCTGGATCCGGCTGATTTCTTTTTAGGGGTTATCTTATAGATCGTGTTTATTCAGTTAAAGTCCCAAAAACAGTAGAACAGCCAAAAAACAGCATCAGAAGGGAGGCTAAAAAGTTAAAACTTGACATGATGGTAAAACGTGCAATAGAAATATGATTTGAGGGTTCCAAACCTGTTATGCCGGAAGGGGACTTGGTTCGGAAAGTTGATGAAATATTTGGGTTAATTTTGATATTTATTTTGAAATGTAATAATTTATCTATAATTTAAAACAGAAATCGAACTGTTTGACCTATTTGTTAGATTTTAAGGGCCTTTCAAAATTTGGACACGAGTCTTGAAACACCCTGTATATCACCATTAACCGTCTAGTCTGTTTGATACGTCATTGTTTTATACACGTGTTTACTGTTTATTATCACTTTCATTTTAAAAACCTGTTATAAAAGCGTGTGCTGCTGAGCTAATAGCACGTGTAGTAGCACGTGTTATCTGCACGTGTAATATGCACGTGTAATCTGAACGTGTAGTAGCACGTGTAATCTGCACGTGTAGTAGCACGTGTAATCTGCACGTGTAGTAGCACGTGTAGTAGCACGTGTAATCTGCACGTGTAGTAGCACGTGTAGTAGCACGTGTAGTAGCACGTGTAATCTGCACGTGTAATCTGCATCCTGGAACGCTGATTACGCTGAATAGTGATAAGAATATCTCAACATCTGCTGATTAGATGACGCCTGTTAAATCTCACCTCAAACTTAACACCAGATGGATGAGCGAGAAGTGCCCAGATCTACCTCCCCCTTCCAAGAGAAACACCTTACAGGGATCCTATCCATCACCCTGGTAGAGGCCTCTAACCTGCGACCCATGAACAAGGATGGTAGTAGCGACCCCTACTGCAAGTTCAAACTGGGGCATCAGAAACATAAGAGCAAGGTAGGTTACCTTGGTAACTATTTCTAAACCAAACCAAACCAAACTATTTTTAGAGGAGCGTATTCTCACTATTCTTGATATTTTAGACAAGTTGTTCATCAGTTTGGAAGTTTTGGCAAATATGTGTGTTTAATTAAATTTTGTATAATTATAAGTTAAATTTATACTGAAAGTATTTATCATCAAAAAGCTCTTGATAACTGGCAGTTATGTTATGGTCAAGCTATTTGTTATATCAACATTAATTGTCTATTTGCAGGTGTTACGCCGGACACTGGATCCGGTATGGAAAGAAAGGTTCGAGATCAGAGTTTACAGTGACAGCAGCAGTATCCTAGAGATATCAGTTTACGATTACGAGGAGTTTGGTTTCTCAGACAATTTCATCGGCAGGTTAGTGACTTCTTTAGTGACTTCTTTAGTGACTTCTTTAGTGACTTCTTTATACTCTATCTTAATTCCGGCAGTACTGCAGGGTCGGTTTTCTTGGATACTGCTTCTATCCTAACTATGATCGTTAATATCTGTTTTGTTCTTCAAATCGGTGTTATCATGGTTTATAAATCAACAAGTCGGATGCTGTACGTCTTTAAATATTCTTTCTCGTTTAGCTGCACATGTAATGATGTTTTCTTTCCCCGTATTCAGCACTCCTCGCAGGGATTAAAATTGTTTAAATTTAACCGAAACCTCCTCTTTCTCAGTATCGAAGTTGACATAGTAGAGTTCGAGGAGAGTAAGACGTACAAAAAAGAGCTTGAACTGGAGAAGAACGGTGGTAGATTAGTCTGCATTTTCAACTTGTCTCGGATTGACGAGAGTTCAGCTGACTCCAGTTGTGAGATTTCACCTGACGATCTAATCGACATCAGGAAAACTTATGTACGTTAACTTATATAATATATATTAAACTATATAATACTATATATACTATATATAAACTATTAGTCTTCACGAGTTCAGTTATCATGACATTTTATGTTTCTACTTGTGAGTTAACATTATTACGAAGGAGCACTGATGTTACCGTTTGTTCAGGCAATGTCCTACAACCCGCTGAATTACCTGACCTACAAGTGGGAAGATGTTGAGGATGTTGGGGTTCTTATCGTTAAAATAATCAAGTGCATTGATCTACCTGAAGCAGATACCATCATAGGTAGGATTACACTAATTACACTAATTACATTTATAACACTAATTACCTCTGGGAGGCTTAGAATGGGCTATATTCGTTATATTCCCTAGATGCGAACAAGTCATTATACGATGGAATTGTGGAGTATAGGTATTTTAGCTGAGACTTCAGAGACTTCAGAGACTTCAGAGACTTCAGAGACTTCAGAGAATTTATAGACTTTAGAGACGAAGTTGGTAAATTTCTGTACTGAATACGAAAATTATTGCAGGTTCGTCGGATCCGTTTTGTTTTATCGAAGTAGAAAACACGCGAGTACGGACTCCTACCCTTTACAAAACCCAAGATCCTGTGTGGAACAAGCAATTTAAATTGTAAGTATTTTATAGCTTAAATCGTGTAATTAAATCACGTTATGTCTGAACTCGGGAATGAAACGAGAAACCTCAAATTGTGTAACTATAATTCGTAATGTCTGAAATCAGGAGTAAAACGGGAAACTTTAAACGGGGATTTGTAATCCCTTTGCTCCAATAATCAGCCCCTGATACATCTCCTATTTCAGCAATATTAAAGACATACACAGTACGTTGAATATACGAGTTTTCGACGAAGAAAAGAACAAGTATAATTTTCTGGGTTGTGTTAAACTTCCTATATTGGAAGCTCACACCATACACAGGTAAGTTTACACGTGGTACTAACACGTGCTACTAACACGTGCTACTAACACGTGATACTAACACGTGCTACTAACACGTGCTACTAACACGTAGTACTAACACGTGGTACTAACGCGTGCTATTAACGCGTGCTACTAACACGTGGTACTAACACGTGGTACTAACGCGTGCTACTAACACGTGGTACTAACACGTGGTACTAACACGTGGTACTAACACGTGGTACTAACACGTGATACTAACACGTGGTACTAACACGTGCTACTAACATGTGCTACTAACACGTGGTACTACTAACACGTGGTACTGACACGTGGTACTAACACGTGCTACTAACACGTGATACTAACACGTGGTACTAACACGTGCTACTAACATGTGCTACTAACACGTGGTACTACTAACACGTGGTACTGACACGTGGTACTAACACGTGCTACTAACACGTGGTACTAACGGCCACAAGGAATCTTATAAAATATTTCCTGTCATGTCAGATCCAGAGTTCATTAAAACATCTTCAGTCCGTCTATTTAATCTTAGGCTGTGACATTTAAATATTTCTGAAGTACCTACAAGGATATTTGCAAATCAGATTTAACAAGCTTTTGTCCTACAGATGCTTGCTAAAAGACAGGAAGTTGGAAAGAGTAGGATTTGGAGAGATATTCTTAGAGACAGAGCTGATTTACAATCCTCTCAGAGCAGCCATTAAAACATTACTTCCTGCCGAGGAAAACCTTCTTTACGAGGAACCAAAGTTCAAGCGAAATCTCTTTATGCAGGTTGGCGTAATTACAATTAGACTTGTTTTAACTTTTAATTTTAATTTATTATTGACATCGCAAAAAGTTTATCTTTTTATGATAGCTTGATGATCGTGATATGTAGGGGTGTACCTTGTCACCTTGCGTTGGCCGCAAGTCTTTTATCATGTAGTCGACTTATGTAGGTGTAGCTATAAATGTTTGTTAATCAATCAGTGTAGCTCGTGACTAATCGTATGCTTTCTGCAGAATTTTAAGAGAGTGTATGCGCTATCGACAGTAGTTCTCTCCCTGGGTCTGTGGGCTCAGAGGATCTACAATTGGGAAAACAAGGCTAAATCAGCTATTGCACTATTAGTAAGTTCTTTCCCTGTTTCTAAATATTCTCTAACTGGGTTCTCTAATATTATTTTGCACGTTGAACAGACTATTGTAGACGGTGGTTGACTTACTGAGGGTACCCTACATGTCATGTACCCTCAGTAAGTCATCTGCTAGAACTGGAAATGAAATATTTTAGGAAATGCAATATTTTAGGAAACTTTCACCGAAATGGTCTCTGCGAAAGCGAGATTTTAATTATGTTTAATATGAAATTCTGTTGTATGCTTGAACTGACTCTTAAAATTTCAGTTGTACATACTCGTAGTGGTTTCGTTCGAGTTGTACATGGTTCCAATGTTCGCTGCTTTTGTCATAATTTACGAGTTTTTAGCCCGTTGGGTCGGGTTTAAAAGCTTCGAAACGTGGATTATGAACGGTAAGTCTAACTCTCAACAAAATACTTAAAATATTACCAAATTTGAAATGATTTGAAATGATCCTTGAGGATTTTCTGCAAAGATTCCACATTCGCTATCAACATTTCAATAATTCAATACTTCAGCTGACCTGCAAGAACAGGTGTCGAAAGAGGACGAGATTGAGGACGGAGAAGACTTCAGTCTCACGGCCAAGATGAAGATGGTGATGGGGGTGTGTCAGACTGTCCAAAACTCTCTGGACTTGGTGGCCAGCTACTGTGAGCGTATCAAGAAGTACGTTATTTCACCTAATTTATTGCCCTCTGGCACGTGCTGCTGTCACGTGCATCGCCCGTCACGTGTGCTGCTGTCACTTGCATCGTCCGTCGCGTGCAATGACCCTCCAATATTTGCCATTTCGCGTAGGATGTTTCGTTAGCCGTTCTGTAGTCTACAGACTGGTCAGGGAGATGTTGTCACATGGTCTATTAGAAAAGACGGTGTATGCTGCTGCTGCTGGGGCTGCTGCTGCTGGGGGTGGGTGCTGCTGGGGGGGGGGGGGGGGGGGGGGGTGCTGCAGTTGTAGTGGACGAATATTAACCAGCATAAATTCCGTCCACCAACTGGCTATCACGATTAGTTTTTAATTTGTTCATAATTTGAGATTATTAAATGATTTCGTTCTAACAAATCCTCGTTTCAGTGTTTTTAATTGGACTATTCCCTTTCTCTCGTTCATGGCAGCTTCAGTACTCATATCCGGAACTGTGATTTTATACTTCCTCCCCCTGCGGTGGCTGGTCTTAGCTTGGGGTAAATATTAACATATTGCATAACTTAAGCACTTTTTGTAGCGTAATAATTTATCACTTTTGACGCGAATTTCGCTGTGATTACAATTTAAATTTCTACATCTTTTTTTCTATTTTCTTTTTTTATCGCAATCCACAGATCACTTTTTTCATTGTACTAGTGTAACCCGTGCCGGGACTTCACTATGGCAGTTGAAATGCGAAAGTATAAACCCGCCTATTATAATATTCGAAAACACACATTACATTTTCCTAGTTAAAATGGTGGGAAAGTATGAACTATGAACTCACACAGACACACAGACACACAGACACACAGACACACAGACACACAGACACACAGACACACAGACACACATCTTGAGATTATTATTATAGATTTCACTTTCCAGGTATTAATAAGTTGACTGTCAAGTTAAGAAACCCAGAATACGAAGAAAACCAAGAACTTTTAAATTTCTTGTGTCGATTGCCGTCAGATGTTGAATTGGTTAGTTATTTAAACAAGTTATTGGTTTAAAATACACTTAATATTCTTAAAATTTCTTGGACTGCAACTGGATTCAAAGCTAGCTGTTAGTTTTACTAAATAATATACTAAAACCATGATTTACCGCGGCTGTTTCCTTTTCCAAACTCCGTGGTAAAATCATCTTTGATTATTATATCATGATATTTTTTAAAGGAATAACATTTTATCATCAGTAAAATAAGGTTTCAAACAATTTCAGAATCAGATGCGGGTCATCACTAAAGAATCGTCCAAAAGAGGGGCAGCAATAAATAAGGCAGTGAAATCGAGGTGGCACAAGTAATCAACTTTCAGGGCTTTGCTTCGACTGCAATGCAATGATAGAATTTTGGTTTAATTTAATGTGCTTTGTGATTTTTTAAACAATAAATTAGATTGATCAAGCAGGATTTTAGATTTCAATTAAACAGAACAATTTAGACAGGAATATGGTTAACGTTGGTTTTTAAGTGCGCTGTCTTCAATTGAAGTTGTTTGTGATTTTCGGAAAATGGTGTTTGTGTTTCGTAGTTTCAGATTGACTTTTATTATTTGTGGATGGACGTTTTTTCAGACTATTTTAATTCATTATAATTTGATTTTGGATAGGCTTTAGTGACACAAATATTGACAGGGTGCTCCTAATATAGGTTTCATTATTCGACATGTAAACGGGTTGGGCTTCGTTCCTTTTTATTGTCGTTCTTGTCCCTGTTCCTCGACCCTCGCTCAAATTCCCAATCTTCCTAGCAAATGTGGCCATTTATATTAAATCACATCCGGAAGGAGCGAGGATCGAATGACAGCAGACAAAGACACGCTTTATAACTATATGGTGGGGTTCATCTGCTGTTATTTAAATATGATAAATTATTAAATTTCAGTTAAGTTATTTCTCGGAAAGCCCTCAGAATCAGAAATGTATGATAGTCTTGAGCTAGTTCATTTGACCCGATTTGATTTGTTTTAAAATCTGCTTTCATTTGCGAAGACTTGTTTTTTGATAACGTTTTTAATTTAACTTAATGATATATCTAATAATTTTGAGATTACACCCAATAAAGTATGTTCATGCCTAACTGCCCAAGTTTAGGTATGCTATATGATTTAATTGTACGATCCCTATTCCGTAATTAAATTGGTGGAATACCGGAGTAATTTAGACTTAAATTAAGTTTATGCAAAAGCTGTTGATAAAATATGGCTTATCCAAGTCATATTGATGGTATGTGCCCAGTAATTCCGTCAAGGCTGTGTTAACTGGCTGATTTTTTCATGGATATTAGCTATGGGTTGCTACTTTGACATATTAAAGATTTCATGATATCCTGATTGCTATTTGCCATTGCGATGATCAAAAGAATATAATAAAATTAACATGCCTTTAAAAATTCCAATTAAATATTTATTTACTGCTAAAGACTAATTGCCATTAAGTTGTTAATTGTTGAACTACTCCTTCTAAATCTTACCTTTATTTTCAAGGTAAGCTAAATTTAAAATAAAAAGGTCGGGTTATCAATCTGTTTTTAACGCATCGTGATAGGGAAACAGCACTTCAGGATACTATCGTACTGTTAAATGTTTTGTTTAATGTTCAAATTTGTTTTTGGGTTGAAAGTGTATTTATTGAATTTGTAGAGTTGATATTCCAATCTGTTGATTACCAAAACAAGCAGTTTTATTTGTTTTTAAAGAAATGTTGTGTTCAGTTACGTAGTTAAGTATAAAGGTAGGATACAAATTACAAGGATACAAAAGTGATAATTACTTTATTGAGTACACAATAGTTGTAATCCTGAAAAAAATTACCTAAAGGTATCTGAGTGGAGTTGAGTTAAAAACATATAAGAGATACGATGATTTAACTTGTAGAAGCTTTCAATAAACATGTGTTAATCGTCGTCAGCTGAATGTGATGTGGTGGACAATGCTTATATGTGATTGAGTGGTGTCAGGGATGGAGGGTGGGGGAGGTGTGGGTGGGAAAGTGAAAATTACAGTACAATGTCAATAAAAATTTAGTCTTCTGTTGAGGTTGAGAAGGAAATGCCAGATGGTCTGGACTTTAAGGATTTGGCAATTTTAGGAAGAATGGGGTCCCAGAGAGAACTACATTTGGGTGCGCGGTCTGTTCTGTTCATAGCTGGTTGTCGTATTTGTATAGCTGCGTGTTCTGTGAGGTCAAGTTGGGAGCGTGAGGTGAGGGATTTGAGGACTTCGATGTTGTTCCAGGAGATGGTGTGGCCGGTGGTCAGGGCATGATGTGCAGGGACTGATTTGATTCTGTCTGTGGATTCGTCGATGGCGTTGTTGAGTCTGTAACATCGTTCGTGTTCTTTCATGCGGTGGACCAAGGGTCTGTAGGTCTGTCCGGCGTATTTGGAGGGGCACTGTGAGCAGGAAATTTCGTAGATGGTGTTGGGAGTGAGGTGAGTAGGGGGTGTGGTCTTCGTTTTGGTGAGGAGGTTGCGGAGGGAGGTAGCAGAGGAGTGGGTGACTTTGATGTCGTGTTGTCCGAGTATCTTGGAGATGGGTTTGGATACTGATAGGGAGGGATGGAAAAGGTATGTCACTATGAGGTTTCTAGCAACTCGTGATCCGATCTAAAAGTACATTCGTAGTTCGTATTCTTAAATTTGATCTTTCGAACAGCTGTTGATCAATGAAACGCAAACATAATCTTAGTTCGTACGTAATCTTTTATATATATTTTGTCCCTCTTACCTAGCTTGCTTATGCTAGTGTATTGCTCGGCTCTTACCACTTACTAATTCGCTCGCCCAAAAATTTCACGTGACTTTGGTTTTTATGGTTTTGCAGCCGTACAAAACGGTTTTACATAAACCCTAATCCCAACCCTAACCATAAACCCGAAGCTATCCACAGCCCTAACCCTAACCCGAGCCCTAAACAATCGAATTCATGTTTTACTAGCCTGTCACGTGACCAAAACGGTTTTTTGCCCATAACTCTCCAGGGAAGCATTTTTACCCTACGTCATGGGGGGTGATTCGGAATCAGCGTTCAAAAATACACCGATTGAGATCAATTTCATACTTGTATCACGTGGTGACCCCCACGGTCGTTTCACTATAGCGTCTTCGACGCAACAGGGGGGTCATACAACGTATGACAATTTCATACCGAAAGGGCCTTTTCACAAGAATTTTCTTAAAATTTGGGCCAGCGATTTAGTAGAAGCGGTATTTCTCGCTCCTTTCACGTAAAAGAGAGGAGCCTGAGCGAGTTACCTGGGGACCCCAGGCTATTATGTTCATATAAAACGAAATAAATAAAGATTCGGCGGAATGACAGGCTGAGCGCCGCCCAGTAACTGTAACTGTGTAAGAGTGAGGAGCTTTCTGACTCTGGGATTGGCATTTGGCGTGGCAGGTGAATTTTTCTCTCGCGTATGGTTTTTTTTGCATTTTGGGACAGTAGTCAGTACTTACTTTAACTCATTAAGTTTAGGTACTTTAGGTTGGTTTGGCAGGGATTGCTTCTGGACAACAGTAACTAGTACGTCCTCCAATCATTCCTGGTTCAAATCTTTCTGTAGATTCCATTCCATGAGTGAGTTGTTGGTGATGGGCGATGGCTTTTACCCCAGGAAACCTTACCGGCAGGGGCCTAACTTCGAAAGTTCTAGTTCACATCTTTCTGTAGATTCCATTCCAAGAGTGAGTTGTTGGTGATGGCGGTGTATCTTTTGGTTGGCAGTACTTACTTTAGGTACTTTAGGTTGGTTTTTATGGTTTTGCAGCCGTACAAAACGGTTTTACATAAACCCTAATCCCAACCCTAACCATAAACCCGAAGCTATCCACAACCCTAACCCTAACCCGAGCCCTAAACAATCGAATTAATGTTTTACTAAACCCTAATCCCATTCGACCCTAACCATAACCCCGAAGCTATCCATAACCCTTACCACAACCCTAACCCTAACCCGAGCCCTAAACAATCGAATTCATGTTTTACTAGCCTGTCACGTGACCAAAACGGTTTTTTGCCCATAACTCTCCAGGGAAGCATTTTTACCCTACGTCATGGGGGGTGATTCGGAATCAGCGTTCAAAAATACACCGATAGAGATCAATTTCATACTTGTATCACGTGGTGACCCCCACGGTCGTTTCACTATAGCGTCTTCGACGCAACAGGGGGGTCATACAACGTATGACAATTTCATACCGGAAGGGCCTTTTCACAAGAATTTTCTTAAAATTTGGGCGAGCGATTTAGTAGAAGCGATATTTCTCGCTCCTTTCACGTACAAGAGAGGAGCCTGAGCGAGTTACCTGGGGACCCCAGGCTATTATGTTCATATAAAACGAAATAAATAAAGATTCGGTGGAATGACAGGCTGAGCGCCGCCCAGTAACTGTAACTGTGTAAGAGTGAGGAGCTTTCTATGGGATTGGCATTTGGCGTGGCAGGTGAATTTTTCTCTCGCGTATGGTTTTTTTTTTGCATTTTGGGACAGTAGTCAGTACTTACTTTAACTCATTAAGTTTAGGTACTTTAGGTTGGTTTGGCAGGGATTGCTTCTGGACAACAGTAACTAGTACGTCCTCCAATCATTCCTGGTTCAAATCTTTCTGTAGATTCCATTCCAAGAGTGAGTTGTTGGTGATGGCTTTTACCCCAGGAAACCTTACCGGCAGGGGCCTAACTTCGAAAGTTCTAGTTCACATCTTTCTGTAGATTCCATTCCAAGAGTGAGTTGTTGGTGATGGCGGTGTATCTTTTGGTTGACAGTACTTACTTTAGGTACTTTAGGTTGGTTTTTATGGTTTTGCAGCCGTACAAAACGGTTTTACATAAACCCTAATCCCAACCCTAACCATAAACCCGAAGCTATCCACAACCCTAACCCTAACCCGAGCCCTAAACAATCGAATTCATGTTTTACTAGCCTGTCACGTGACCAAAACGGTTTTTTGCCCATAACTGAAACTCTTCAGGGAAGAATTTTTACCCTACGTCATTGCATGGGGGTGATTCGGAATCAGCGTCCAAAAATACACCGATTTAAATCAATTTCATACCCAAAGGGCCTTTCACAAGAATTTTCTTAAAATTTGGGTGAGCGATTTAGTAGGAGCGAAGTAAAAAATAGAAACTTCCGGTTTTCAACAAAATTTTCGCTTCGTAAAATTAAGTTACCTCCCCAAGAGGAAAATCGAGTGTTACTTTATCTATTTTTAATTATAAAATCCTTTGGAGGGCTTTTTGTAGTACTAGTTGTATGGATTGTCAATAATGTTTAGTAAAAAAATTTCAAAAACATTTTTCAATGCATCAAAGTTTATTGTTTTTATCTATACTTTCATAATATGAAGTCAAATCCCGAATCTCGGCAAAAAAGGTTTTGGTGTAGTCTCCTTAAATAATATTTTATAATTTACTTACCTGGACAGTAGCAGTGATATTCCGTCCGTAAACAAACCAACTAGGTCCCACTTTATAATTAGTCCAGAATCATTGCTAGAAATGGTAACACGATTAATGTGGTTTATCGCAGGGGAAGGATATAAAAGACGTGATTGAACCAACATATTTTTGATAAAATTTTAAATCTTAGAATCATGTAGTACCATATTAAATGTTATATAACTTTAAAAATCGAAGAAGAGTAAATGAAACCATAAATATCAATAATGTATCGAAAAATTAGCATTATATCGGAAAAGAATAGTAACGTCTGACATTCCAAGTAAATATAATGTTAATAACATCCACCAATGATTGTATCTCAATTTTAATAACCAAAAACGCAAATGATAAGTCCATAATAACTCTAATAACATTAACATCCTAAAATGATAATAAGTTCTGAAAGCTTCCGACGGAAACTGGATAAAATGCGACAATCCCTGTTGTTATCCCGTTTTCTAAAAACATGTAATGATTCAATACCACGATAGAGCCTAATGGGAGGATGACGCAAGCTTGTTTGTGGCATGTGACATTAATTTGCGCAACAAATGTTAGATTTAGTGATTTATATCTGTTGCAAACTGACTGGTAGTCATCTCTGTCACATGTCAAAACTAATTTACGTCATCTTCCCGATTTTAAAAGGTTTTGAATAAAACTGATTTTACAGACATACAACACAACAACCAAGATTCTTTACCGATTTCTTAAACAATCACAATGCTTGTCTTGGATATAACAGATAGGACGATGACGCAAGCTTGTTTTTGGCATGTGACATTAATTTGCGCAACAAATGTTAGATTTAGTGATTTATATTTGTTGCAAACTGACTGGTAGTCATCTCTGTCACATGTCAAAACTAATTTACGTCATCTTCCCGATTTTAAAAGGTTTTGAATGAAACTGATTTTAGCCAGATACCCTATGGCTATACAGACATACAATACAACAACCAAGATTCTTTACCGATTTCTTTAACCATAAAGCTTTTAATGAAATAGTTTAAGGGAAACAAAATAAATTTTAAGATTTCTTACCACTGGAACGTGATCCCGATCAGTTTTCTATTAACAATCTCCTGAATTCCAATAGCATCAGTAATACCAGTCCGTGTAGTACAATCAATTGGGGATGAGGTTGGGCAACTCTGCTCTGAATAAAATGCTGTTCCATTTCCTCTATTGGAGCTGGTTGATTTGGTGCAACATGTATACCAAGTG